TTCCTCCGTTTCAAAATATAAGTTGTTCTAGAAGTTTTTTTGTTTCAAAATATAAGTTGTTTTGATAATCCTATATACTTTTAACTTTATTGAATATTGTGTGACCACTAATATTATGCAGTCTCTTTTGTGATTGGTTAACCTATTTTTATTATCTATAATAAATCATACTTTTTAGAACAAAAATAATTTCTTAATATTAGCGTTTTTTGCTAAATCAACTTAAATTTTGAAACGGAGAGAGTATATATATATATAAGACTCCGAAAATTATGCAAGAAAAGGTCAATTTCATTAATTTTTTGCAAAATAAGTATACTTGGATAAAATTTATAGACAAACTTCCAAATAGAAGATGCCTAACCCAAGTTAAGTCATCTCACTTCAGAAATATGGTTTTGTATAAACCTTGATGCAATGGCGACAATTGCTTTAAGACACATTACTCATATTTCTATGCATAGGTTATGTATGTCATACTAAGATTAATACTATAATTTTGCTCACAACAATATTATAATGCAACAATCTACATATAAACACAACCACTACAAAACAGAAAGAAAGTCCACCTTGACCTTTTCAATCAATTTTGTAGATATGTATTTATTGAATTGACACATATTCCTAACAAATATTGAAAATATCTGAATAAAGCAATGTCAAACCTATAACACTTATGTATGTTCCCTTTTTGTTGGTAGTATTAAACTTAAAATGGAATACCCAAAACTAATAAATGTAATTTTGTTTGACAAAAAAAAAACACAATTGAAATTTCTAAATGTAACCCAATTTAAGTGCATACTACATTAATTTATAAATTATACAATTCTTATCTCCTCCATTTATTGAACTACTTCTGACTATTTAGGATCCGACTATTTATAACTAAGTACGTGCATTTTAAAACTTCAAATGTCTCTCTTTGTCTTTTAGCTAAAACAAATGAAAAAACTTTTTTGAACTGTTTACACTTGCTTTCATTTTTTTACTACTATAAGGATTTTAAACTTCCCATTCTTTCTATCGTCATCAATTGTTTTGTCAACGGTTTTGCTTTTATATTTTTATGATTAGGAAATAATGGGGTCACATGTAGGTACTTGTATCCTCTAACAAATAAAGAAATAACAGCAGCATCGCATGTTCTCTTTTGAATTTTCCCAAATGAGTCACTCTCCGTCACGACCACGTTGTCTTTATAAGTTCTTACTTTTTTTCAAATTAAGATTTACCCAAAGCGATGACTTTTTTCTTTGCATGCTTATCCCGAAATGTGTCCACAGTAATTATTACTAGTATTAATAATGATCATATAATAAAAAAAGCTACGACTAAAGTG